TTTTAAAACAAACAAAAAACCGTGTCTCAGACAGGAAGAGGTCAGGAATCGAAACCAAGACTGAGGCTGAGAGGCCTTCTGCGTAATCCCTTACTGAAGCCGAACCCTTCCCTCACCTCATAGTTTTGAGAACATGAGATTAAGTGCTTCGAAGTACTCTGGGAACTGCAAGACGGCATGAATCGGAATGATGGAGGAGAACAGATGTCTGTGTGGGGAGGAGAGAAGTTACCGCTGCCTGAATTCTCAGTGGCAGGCAATTGGCCACCCGTGTTCTTTTCCCTGCGATCGACTTGCAGAATCCCGTCTGCAGACAAGGGAACTCATTAACGGCCTCTCCTGGAGAAGAGGGGGCTATGCACAAGGGTTCGGTCTTGGCCCCTCTCTGAAAATGTTCCCACTGTTCCTGGTGAAACAGGCTGAAGAGCTACCCCCAAACTGGTTCCTCTTCTCTCCTGGTCTCTCGCAAACACACACAAACCTTTCCGTGTTATCAATTTCCTCTACAGAGAAGGGGCTGGAATCGCTCAGCTGCTGGGGAGTCCACTTCCTGGGCCTGCAGGGCTCCTCCAGACTTCTCTCCCTTCTCTAAACAGTCCCCAAACTCCTCCTCCAGCTGCTCTATCTTTAGGCCAACACTCGGCCTGTGCCACGGATAGGAGTGTAGACCAGAGGCTACAGTTCTCCGAGAGAAAGTGGGACAGTAGGGGACAAGAGGGTCAGCCCTGCAGCTGCCGGAGGCCCCAGGCTCAGAGGACCCATTCCCCAATCTACTCCAGGACAAGAAGGAGCCGGCCAACACAGGCCTGGTGGCACAGGGACACACACAGAACCCCGCAGGGTGCCTCGGTGCACTCTCAGCCCCCAGAATGCACCATGCAACTACAGGAACCCCGGGATCGGCCCCAGCCACACAGCCAGATACACACAAACATGCAGTCCCGAAGGACATTTCAAAAAGGAAAAAATCCAGACTCAGCCACACACAAAGACAAGACACCCAGTCACACAAGCGCCCTGAGCTCACTCGGTCACTGACACACAGTGACACGGGCCCCAGAGAGACAGACCTCCAGGGGCGTGCAGTCGGGAAACAATCTCAAACATTCCCAGGGGCACCTCCCCCCACCCTCCCCGGGGGGCCTCTGTCACAGCATCAGGCGGGTGCAGTTTCCCAGCAGA